CAAGTAATGATGCATTACAGTCTCCCAGGTAGACTTAAACCAGAAACACAAGGGGCAGTACTCTTAGAAGGCTAGTAGTTGTACTTATAAATGATAAGGGCAGGGCACACACCCTGGAGTGACAGCAGTATCAGCAGCAAACCCTGAGCACCACCAGATGCGGCCCCAATACAAAACAAAAGGCCAAAGAGACAAGAAGGATTTAGGCCCAGTTCAAATTCCACCCCCACGTATGCCCTGCAGGAGCAGAGCCAGTAGCGACCCCCAACAGTTAAACCAAATGCTTCAATTCTTGTACTGTATTTTGATCTCTTTCTTCCTTTGGTTTTGCAACCACAGCTGGTGGTCAGGGGCATCCCGAAACTTGCTCTACATCCCTCTAAGTTAGCACCTTGGCCTCTGAATTTTTTTCTTCCCCTTGACCTCCCAGGCAGAGTTCAGGAGGCCCAGGGGCCAGAAAGCAAACACCAGCGCCCAAAAGTGAGATGATCACCTGGAGGGGCTTAGGGGCTACAGGACTACAGTACCCAACAGTGCTCAGGGGGCCCTGCAGTGCTGGGCATTAAAACAGCACCGTGTATGTGCCAATTATTTGCTCCGAACCCCTCTACTGTCTTCCTGGCCTCCACACTTAATTCTGTGCAAAGATGTTAAGGAATAACACTACAGCATTAGGTAATATTCTAAGACTCAGAGGAAGCAAGAGGTTGGACTGACCCTTTTCTGCACACTCTCATGTACCTTTTGCATTCTCAATACTGTGCATATAAAATATCTGTTCTAAAACAAGTGAAGTGGGGCTGGAGCGATAGCACAGCGGGTAGGGCGTCTGCCTTACACGGGGCCCAACCCAGGTTCAATTCCCAGCATCCCATATGGTCCCCTGAGCACAGCCAGGAGTAATTCCTGAGTACATGAACCAGGAGTAACCCCTGTGCATTGCTGAGTGTGACCCAAAAAGCAAAATAAAATAAAAGAGGTGAAGCAAGGGACAGGGCAAGGAGGGATAGTACAGTGGATAGGGTGTTCGCCTTGCACACTGTCGATCAGGGTTCAATCCCCGGCATGCATATGGTCTCCCCAAGCACCACCAGGAGTTATTCCTGAGTGCAGAGCCAGGAGTCACCCGAGCATCAGGAAAAGGAAGGGCCAGATAGAGTAGACTTAAGGTGCTTGCGTTGCATGCTTCCAGCTTGAGTTCAATCCCCTCTGAGTAAGAATTTAAAGCAAGACTCGTGCCATCTCACTTTTTATTAAGAGAAACAAAGGGAACTGTCACAAGCACATCAATAAGTGGATGCTAACACATGATGTTCTGCTGTCTACCATGAAAGCAGGGATCAGACTGAAGGAGGTTTTCAGCTTCTGTGCCTCCCCAGAAGCAGGGGGCATCACTGCCTCAGGGCCCCCAAGGAGAGGGAAGGCTGCGCCCTGAACTCACCAGTCATCACATCATAGTTGAAATGCTCTGCCGCAGGTTCTAAGTTCACTACCTGGACAGAACGGCCGATGGCTTCACAGTGCTGGACCATGGTGGCACAGTAGGTGCTCTGTGGACCGGGAGGCAGGAGGGGTCAGAGCTTCAGACAGACCCAACACCACCAGACGAACCCCCACAGCCCCAGCTCAGTGTTTGCTAAGGTCCAAACTAAGCCATAATCCCCCAAGAAACAGACTGAAACCAGGGAAAAGACCCAACCCGGGGCTGGGCATCAGGGAACTGCATGGAGTGCAGATTCAGCCCTACTGTGGCCACACTGACCTCGGGCCAGCGGCATCTTTCCAGTCAGTGTCCTTATCCCTGGCCGATGGTCTCCGCACTGCTATCAGGTGGGGTAAGTATGATTGAAAGGTAAGAATTGTCCCCCGCCCTTGATTTTGGGGCCACAGCCAGCGGTATTCAGAGGGGCTTACATGGTTTGGAGATTGAACCCAGATTGGGTGTGTGCAAGGCCCTGCATGCTCAACCTTTCTGGGTTCTATTTCCCTTTAAAAATGAGAATAGGGTCTGGAGCATAGCACAGTGGGTAGCGCTCAGCCGACCCGGGTTCGATTCCCAGCATCCCGTATGGTCCCCTGAGCACCGCCAGGAGTAATTCATGAGTGCAGAGCCAGGAGAAACCCCTGTGCAGTGCCAGGTATGACCCAAAAACAAAGGCTGTGGAACTAAAGGGGCCCTGGAGCGGGGACACGGAGAGTCCAGAGGGCAGGACACTCCCCTCGCACAAGGCTGTCTCGCTTTCATTCCCCGGACCATCCTGGAAGCCTGCCAGGAGTGATCCCTGAGCACAGACCCAGGAGTCAGCCCTGAGCACAACCAGATGTGACCCCAAAAGCAAAAAAATGCGGGAGCTCATACTCAAAAACAACTGTACCACATCTGACATGGTTCAAAGTAGCAGGCAACCAATCTTAGAGGGAAATACATATATATATTTTATAGATACATATATACACACACACACATATATATATAAACACACAAGGCTCAACCTTTTACAACATGTTAGTAATCTCTTACAGAAGGGCTTAACGGCCCCTGGGTAGAATACACACTCTTTCCTCTAAGGATACTTTTTTTTATAGCATTTTTAGCGATTTTTGTTTGTTTTTTTTTGGGTCATACCTGTCGATGCACAGGAATTTCTCCTGGCTCTGCACTCAGGAATTGTCCCTGGCTAATAGTGCTCAATGGACCATATGGGATGCTGGGAATCGAACCCAGTTTCGCCGCGTGCAAGGCAAACATCCTACCCACTGTGCTATCACTCCAGTGCCCTGGCAGTTTATCATATCAAACAATACAAGAGAATAGATTATTTCAGTTCTGCTTTGGGACAGGGATTGGGGTTCGGGATAGAACTACCCGAAATGTGGTGCTGAGAAGGTGTAATGGTGGTGGAATTGGAGTCTGAATATTGAATGTAATCAAATATTGTAAAACACTTTATAAAATAAAAAAATTGGGAGGTTGGAGCGATTCAATAAAGACAATGATAAAAAATGAAAAAAAGAGAGTAAGGTGGAGTTCATGCCCAATTCAATCAGCTAATCAGTGGCCGAATAAATAGCAGTACACCTACATTTGAAGAAAAAGGAAAATAACTTTTTAGCAGCACATTCTTTCAAGTATCTGCTCCCTGCTCTCCCCAGGGCCTTGAGTTCACCACATGGACAGGACTTGTGGGAAGAGGGAGAGAAGCAGCAGCCCAGAGGGGCTGCACAGAGAGCAAGCCCTGCTGCAGGGCCACAGCTGACCTGTCCTCGCTGTGATGCGCTCGGTGACATCACCGACCTCTCTTTGTGATGCAACCAGACATTCTGCAGCCTCCCCAACTGCCCCCATACTCATTACTTGGTTCACTGCGGAAACGCACAGACAGCAAACATGTTTTGCTGCTTACCAAGAAATCGTGGTTGTAAAACCCCCAAGTGTAGGACACTGAAAAGATTCAGAAACTGGGTGAGGACCCATTGGAGAACTCCCCTGAATTCTTCTCGAAGACAGCCGCTAGTTCAGGTCAGCAGGAACTGGCCCGGGCAGCCCCAGCACTGATGACCGTGATCAGTCTTCATCACTCCCTGAGTGTGATGGCGCAGAAGCTGCGTGTGTGGAAGAGTGTGCACACCCGTGTGTGAACGTGTTTATTGGAGAGAGTAAATTTGAGTGTGTACTGGAGATGGTCTGTGTGTGGGTATGTGTATTTGTGTATGTACGTGTGTCTGTGTGTGTGTTGTGAGATCATCTTGAGGGCAGCCTGCTCCTAGCAGGTGAGTCATCAAATCTAGCCCCCAAGGCCAGGTCACTGCTCACTGAGTTGGCACGAGGAGGTGCTCTTTGGCCAAGACTTTTCTAACCTTGATTGTTTCAATCTCATTCCTATGGGAGGCCTGTGTAGATGCAGGTCCACCAGCAGGGAGGAACTCAGAAGGGAGGGGGCAGCAGCGCTTCTGGATCTGAGCCTTTGTGGTTCTCCCTCCGCAGAGCAGCGCACAGGAGAGAGAGATGCTCCCTCCGCAGAGCAGCCCACAGGAGAGAAAGAAGATCTTCTACATATCCTCTGGGTCCAGTTCCTCTGAAGAAAGTCTGGAATCAGCCAGACCCAAGCACAGCCAGACACCATCTAAGCAGAAATTTGAGATTGGCCAAGGAGTGTCAACTCCCCAAAGGGCACCGCCTTCAATGCCATGGCCTCACACATATGGCAGAGAACGAGACTCAGAGCACCAGAAGAAAACGGGTAAGAACCAAGGGGTGTGTGTATATGCACAAGAAAAAGGGGAATGGGAAAAGGCCCACCTAGAGGTGTCCTGGGGGCTGGTGTGGGAAAGGAGAGTCACAGGTCGGAGAGCCCATTCCGGGGAGGCCTCCAGAGGAAACCCCCGTGAGGTGGGCCCATGGTCTCCCCTTCCTGCTGGGCTCCCTGTTGGGGTCAGCTTTGGAGAATCCATGGAAGGAGCCCTCTGGGTGACCTTTTCTCTTATTGATTCTTTAGCTCCAGCTCTGAAAGCATACTTGGCTCCGTGTCCAAGGACAGCGCCAACACTGATCTCTCGAGTACCAGCTGCACAGCCACCCGCTGTGGCAATATTGGACAAGTTCCCAGAGGACCTAGCATGTTTACAACTGAAAGAAGCCCAGGGTCTCACATCAGTGTCTCTGTCTGGAGAACCTCCCACCAATGAGTATCTTGCCTCTGTATATTTTATTATTTTTATTCTTTGTTTTTACTTTATCTTTTATATTTTCATTTAAATAAATTGTGATTGCTACTCTTCACAAGCATCCATTTGCCTTTTTTTTTTTTTCGGTTTTTGGGTCACACCCGGAGAGCACAGGTGTTACTCCTGCCTCTTCACTCAGGAATTACTCCTGGCGGCGCTTGGTGGCCCATATGGGATGTTGGGATTCGAAACCAGGTCTGCCGCGTGCAAGGGAAATGCCCTACCTACTGTGCTATCACTCCAGCCCCGCATCCAGTTGCATCATAACATACACTTCATTTGTTCTGGCATTCTTGAAAATATTCATCCAACATAGAAGACAACTCATCTTCATAAAACACAAATTAGAAAATTCATTGATTTCTCCGCAGACCCAGTATGTATTGACCTACTGTTCAGGCAATGCTCTATAATACCCAGTAGTAGTGCTAATAGATATTCACTAACAAAATTGGGGCGAACGAGACAGCACAGGGGGTGGGGCACTTACCTTTCCTGAACCGGGGGCCCAAAGCACCATCAGGTTCTGGAGCACGAAAGCCACGTAATCTGCAACCAGGGTTTTGGTTCACTGTATCACTGTCCTCCCATTGTTCTTCAATTTGCTCGAGCGGGTCCAGTAACGTCTCCATTGCAGACTTTGTTGTTACTGTGTTTGGCATATCAAATACATCATGGGTAGCTTGCCAGGCGCTGCCATGCGGGCGAGATACTCTCAGTAGCTTGCCGGGCTCTCTGAGGGGGTGGAGGAATCGAACTCGGGTTGGCCACGTTGGCTGTGTGCAAGGCAAACGCCCTACCGCTGTGCTATATATATATAAACACACAAGGCTCAACCTTTTACAACATGTTAGTGATCTCTTACAGAAGGGCTTAATGGCCCCTGGGTAGAATACACACACTTTCCTCTAAGGATACTTTTTTATAGGATTTTCAGCGATATTTTGGGGTGGGGGGGTCATACCTGTCGATGCACAGGAATTTCTCCTCGCTCTGCACTCAGGAATTATCCCTGGCTAATGGTGCTCAGGGGACCATATGGGATGCTTGGAATCGAACCCAGTTTCACCGCTTGCAAGGCAAACGTCCCACCCACTGTGCTATCACTCCAGCGCCCTGGCAGTTTTTCATATCAAACAATACAAGAAAATAGATTATTTCAGTTCTGTTTTGGGACAGGGATTGGGGCTCGGGATAGAACTACCCGAAATATGGTGGTGAGAAGGTGTAATGGTGGTGGGATTGGAGTCTGAGTATTGAATGTAATCAACTATTGTAAAACACTTTATAAAATAAAAAAATTGGGGAGTTGGAGCGATATGACAGTAGGCGGGACGTTTACCTTGCAAGTGTCTGGCGAGGTTTGATTCTCAGCATCCCCTATAGTCCACTGAGCACCACCAGGAGGAATTCCTGAATGCAGAGTCAGGAAGAAACCCTGTGCATCACCGGGTGTGACCCAATAGCAAATAATAATAATAATAATAATAATAATAATTTTAAAAAATGAGGGTGGTAGGGAATAAGTTATTGCGAAATAAACACTCTCTGCTCGTCCCCCAGAGCGCCACCGCCCGGCTCCCCATCAACTCCCATTTTCTTTTCTTTTCTTAAATTTAATTTCAGTTTTAAAATTTTTAATCTTATTTTTAGAAATGTAGATGCTTTATTGCCGTATATATTTTTATAATCATAAGACATTACCATCTTGATGTGAAATGAGTTGTTCTAATGTGCATTTAATTAGGTGCTAATAACTATTGTACAGCATGGTAATTAGACTAACGTGGCATTTCATACTGTCATCACCTTTTACACCTATAGATTATTTTCACAATCATATCACAGCTTTCTCATCTATGCAAGCCATTTGTGTGGAAAATTTTTCCAAATTATATACATATATATTCAATTATAATCATCAATCATTAAAGCACTCAAGTTTTCAGATACACAGACAATCATACGTGCTATAGACTAGAAACCTTCACATTTGGGATGTTATTGATGCCAAACACTTCATGCTACATTTGATTTTTTAAAATTTTTAATAATTTTACATTTTTTAATTTTTAATTAAATTTAATTTTTAATTAAAATTACATTTTTTAATTTTTCCATTTTTACTTTGTTTTTTAAAATATTTCACTTTTTAATGAATTTAATAAATTAAATTTAAAATCAAATTAAAATTTAATTTTAATTTTTAATTAAATTTTAATTTTTAATTAAAAATCACATTTTTAAATTTTTCCATTTTTACTTTTTTTTAAAAATTTTTTACTTTTTAATGAATCACCGATAATCACTTGATTATCACTTGATTATCACACCAAGCTCCCGGGAGAGAACAAGGCAGAGACTCCTACCCCGTGCATGACTGTCCTCACCAGGACCAACAGCAGAAGACCTCCGGCACCAGGCCAAAGTCATGCTGAGACCACTCTCCACACGCATGAATGAGCTTCACGCATAAAGGAACTGGCAGAGTAACCCAGGTGTGGGGCACCCGGGGCTGAGATCTCCAAGCCTACAAGGTTTGGGACTGGACCTTCCAGTAGCTAGACAGTTACACCCACCAACTGCCGTGTAACCCCAACAACTGCCAGGATACAGAGATTATCACACCAAGCTCCCAGGACCTGTTTATTTATGTTTATTTATTTATATTTTGGTTACTCTTTTTTTGTTTTGGTTTTGAGTTCTTGAGCCACACCCAGAGATCAGCCAGAAGGGGCCAGGCTCTTGCTGTACCCAAGACCTTAACTTAAGGAGCTGCTTAGATCAAACAGGAGGGCAGAGGTGTTCAGGGCAATCCTGGCTCTGTGCTCAGGGACCAGACATGAAACAGGGAACTGACCCAGCGTCAGCCTAGGGGAGGCAGAGAATGGTCTTTCCCTCTGCGCCGGTCTCTGGCCCTGGCCAATCTAAATCGTCAGAAATTACCTTGGGTTCTTTGAATTCCAAGTCTTCTCCGTACTTAATGGCAAAATCAATATGCTGTAATACAATGTTCATGCTTTCTTCATCTGAGTGATCGTAAGGCAAAAATCGGACCATACTGGAGTCATCAATCTACAAATTAGAGATTTCAGAAAGGTCATTCAACTGACGCTTGAGTGTGAACATTGGTAGTCTAGTTAATACCATCTATGCCTGTGCATTGAGGAGCAGACAGAACAACAGCAAATCAGCATTAATTTTTTTATGACCTCTGACCTATTGGAACACTAGTAACTTTACAATATTACTTAAATAAAGACTTTTTTAAAATTTTTGGGTCATTCTCGGTGATGCACGAGGGTTACTCCTGGTTCATCCACTCAGGAATAACTCCTGTTGGTGCTCAGGGGACCTATGGGATGCTAGGAATCAAACCCGGCTCGGACCCATGCAACGCAAACGCCCTACCTGCTGTGCTATCGCTCCAGACCCAACCAGAGACTGAGACTTCTTTTATAGTAATTTATCTGCATTCAACCACCACTGAAAATTTTAGAAGGGTACAGGCAATTCTGATGTGCCAAGTGGCCAGGGAAAAAAGACATTGCAGAATTTCTCTGCTGTGGGACGGGAGAGCTAGTACACTGAGGTGGGCGCTTGCCTTGCACGTAGGCAAGGGATACACCCGGGTTCGATCCCCTGCATCCCATATGCTCCCGGAGCCCACCAGGAATGATTTAGGGAGGCAGAGCCAAGAATAAACTCTGACCACTGCTCAGTGTGGCCTCCTGCCCTCTCTGCTAGAACAAATGACAACTTTTTTCAGAGGTGAGGGGAGGCCACATCCAGACAACGCTGGTGCCGACCATATGGTGCCAGAGATGAACCCTGGGCCCCTTGTGTGCAAAGCCTGTGGTGCTGCCCACTGAGCTCTCTCCCTACTTCTATACTAACTTCGAAGCAGACAGCCCACTGCTCCCAACATGCTGCTTCCCTAGAAAGAAATGTGCTGGTCTGTGCCGTCCACATGGTGGTCACTGCCAGGGGGTGTGGAAGCATGTGACAAGACCATTAAGAAAAATATGGGTCTAGGGGGTTGTGGGGGGAGGTGATGAAGAGCTACGACAGGAGTTACAACTGGCCTGCACCCCACACACCTCAGTTTAAACACCCAGCACCACATATGGTCCACCAGGCACAGGGGAGAAACAGCCCCTGAGCACCACCGGGTGTGGCCCTCAAACCTTAAAAACAACCCACAACAACCCCAAACACTTGCAAAACTCATCAGCCCAGGGATTAGCACAGGGCTTGATTCTTGGCACCAGATGGCATCCTGAGCATTGCTGCGTAGAGCCAGGAAGCATCCAGTACTACTGGTACGGCCCTCTGGGCCCCAGCGCTGACCACTACTAGTCTGGTTGGCCAATAATCAGAGCGGTCCCTAGGCCCCCCAGCACAGGAGGCAAACGACCCCCACCACCAAAAATTGTAAAAATACAAAGTCTTACCAGCCCACATATGGCGTTAGTCAATTTATTGAATTTTTTGCTTCTGAAGTTGCTTGTAGAATCATCTAATAAAGAATACATGTCTGGATCTAGAAACCTTTAAAAATGAGAGACTGGTGAATGAAAGAATCCTAAACACTTTATTTGTAGACTGACAATCGCAGTGAAACGAAAAAGGTTCAGCACTGCAAATGAGACCTTAATTATAGTGAACTTACTTCTCAATTTCCTTTTTAGCTCTTTTACTCAGCAGGTCCATTTTTGTCATGATGTTAACTTGCGGGATTTCTAGAGATACCATAGCATTCAAGGCTGCCAAGATGCCAGAAACAAACTGAAAGAGGAAGCAGGAAAGGGACAATGAATCAGTTGTCACCAACAGTGTCCAAACAAAAGGTTTCTGATCCCCACTGGAACAAAACCCAACTAAATCGGAGAAACGCTAAGATTGGGGCCCAAGCAAGAGTCTAGGCTTTAAGGCGCTTGCCTTGCGCCTGTTCAGCCCAGGTTCTAGCCCAGCACTCCACAGGGTTCCCAGAGCACTGCCTAAGTGATTCCTCAGCACAGCGCCAGTAGTGAGCCCTGAGCACTGCCAGGCTGGACCTAACAGAAGACTGCTGGGCCAATAGCTGACCTTAGGATTCTAAAGGTGAGGTGGGAAGGAGAAACGCGATCTACAGTGACCACACTTCTCCACTCAACAATATTTTAAAGTGTTCAGGAGGCAGCTGGGGTTGAGTTCAGCACTGAGGAAACATGTAGTGACAGGGATTAAAAGCAGGTGGGCCACACCAAGGCGAGCACCTTAAGCCCTTTACTATTTTTTTGGGGGGGGGAGAGTGGTAATACCTGGCAATGCACAGGGGTTACTCCTGGCTCTGCATTCAGGAATTACTCCTAGTGGTGCTGAGGCATGCTAGGAATCGTACCTAGATTGGCTGTGTGCAAGGCCCTACCCGCTGTACTATCTCTCCAGCCCCCATTTTTAAAATGTAGTTATTTATTTATTTTTGGGAAGCCCTGTACTATTTCTGACCCTTTAACGTTATCTTCTCTCATGCTCCCCCTCCACCTCCCCTGATGGGTATTTCCTTTTGCGTTTCTGGGTCACACAATCCCCTGATATTACTAAGAGGTCACTTCGGCTTCTGCACTAAGGAGTTACTCCTGACCAGCTTTGGGAACCATATGGGTGCTGGAGATGGAACCAAACGCCCTCCCTTTCAGTTTTGGGGAATACCCAGTAGTACTCCGAGCTTTGTGGTCAAGGATCACTCCTGGAGCGGCTATGGGGGCCCAGTGACAGTACGGCAGGAATGACACCCAGGCGGGCCACATGCAAGGCAAGAGCTCTACCCACTGTACTATCTCTCAGGCATCCAGCTTTTTATTTTTCTCGTTTTGGAGCCACACACAGTGGTGCTTGGGACTTACTTCTGACACTGCCCTAGGACAACTCCTGAAGGTGACTGCTGAGAGTTGGGGACCACTAGAACTACACTGAGCAGTGCACAGGGGGCAAACTCAGGGCCTCGAAACACACCAGCTCTGTGCTCTGCCACTGGAGCCATCTTCTTGGCATATTAATTTAACAACAATAAGTTCTAAGTCACTCCTGGGTATAGTTCATGGACTGGTAACAATTAAACGATTATGACTAAAGGTTTTTGTACTCTGCTTGTGCCGGAGACTGAAAAATCAAGGACAGGTATAGTTAAAAAACCTTGAACGACTCCGCCATGAATTGAGAATCAAGGAGAAACACTCCACAGACTCGGAACACCCACTGTTCCAGCTGCTGAACCAGCTGTTTCATCACGGGCAGGTGTATGTGCAACTCAATCTGACCTACAAGAACACAAGCTTATTATAAACATGAGATACATTCAACCCTCAATTATGGGGAAAAAAAACTTTTCCTAGAAACTGTTTTAGGGGGCTTGAGAGATCGCATAGAGGGTGGGAACTTGCCTTGCACACAGCCAACCTGGGTTCGATCCCATAGGGTCCCTTGAGCATAGCCAGGAGTAATTCCTGAGCACAGGAGCTAGGAGTAACCCCTGGGCATCATCAGATATGGCACCCGAGGTCCCCCCCGCCCATTTTTTAAAAGGAAGTCAATCCCTACAAGTAATATATCCAATTTTTCTTGTTTTAAGCCGCACGTGGGGATGCTTGAGGGTCTCTCTGAAACTTCTGGGAGGGCTCGAAGCTACTCAGAGTCCTACATGCAAAGCCTACTACATGCAAGGCCCACTACATGTAAAGTATGTCCCCAGCACACTATATCTCTAGGCCCTACACTATATTCAATTTTTGTTTTTTTTTGGGGGGGGGACAACCTGATAGTGCTCAGGGCTTATTCCTGATTCTGTGCTCAGGGATGACTGTTGACAGGCCCCAGTAACCATATAGGGTAGCAGGGATCACCTTAGCTGTGTTCAAGGCAAGTGCCCTACCCTCTGTAGTATCTCTCTTGCTCCCCCAATAATTTTTTTTTCATTTTGGGTCACACCTGGCGATGCGCAGGGGTTACTTCTGGCACTGAATTCAGGAATTACTCCAGGCAGTGCTCGGGGGACCATACGGGATGCAGGGGTTCGGGATCAGCCGCATGCAAGGCAAACGCCCAACCCATTGTTCTATCACACCCGCTCCCCTGGCCCCCCCAAGAATTTTTTAAGCAACTCTGGGTGCACAGGTATGTAAAAGGGGCATACAAAGAAAATATACTGTCATCATCATCATCACTGTTCTCCTGTTCATCGATTTGTTCGAGCAGGCCCAGTAACATCTCCATTGTGACAATTGGTCCTGTATTTGGCATATCGAATATGTCACGAGGAGCTTGCCAGGCTCTGTTGTGCAGGTGATCCTCTTCGGTAGCTTGCTGGGCTCTCTAGGAGGGGCAGAGGAATCGAACCCGAGTCGGCCATGTTGGCTGGTTGCACTACAATTATTAAAAATGAGTTTAAAACGCGCTGGAGTGATAGCTCAGCGGTAGTGCATTTTCCATGCACGCAGCCGGCCCGGCCAAACCGGGTTCAACTCCTCTGCCCCTCTCGGAGAGCCCGGCAAGCTACCGAGAAGATCTTGACCACATGGCAAAGCCTGTCAAGCTACCTGTGACGTATTCGATATGACAAACACAGTAACAACAAGTCTCACGATGGAGAAGTTACTGGGCCTGCACAAGCAAATCAATGAACAGCGGGAGGACAGCCACAGGGATTTCATTTATTTATTTATTTACTATTATTATTATTATTATTATTATTTTGCTTGTTGGGTCACACCCGGAGATGCTCAGGGGTTACTCCTGCATCTGCACTCAGGAACCACTCCTGGCGGTGCTCAGGGGACAATATTCGACGCCAGGATTCGAACCTGGGTCGGGCACGTGCAAGGCAAACGCCCCACCCGCTGTGCTATCGCATCGCTCCAGCCCCGACAATGACAGATTTTAAAACAAATTTTTATTCTCTTATTTTGAGGGGAGGAGGTTTGGGCCACACCCACTGGTATTCTGGGAGGATTCCTGACTCTGTACTAAGAATAACTCCTGGCAGTGCTTGGGGGATCCTATGTGGTACCAGGGATCCAAACTTGGGGTGGCAGAAAGTAAGGCAAGGGCTTTAGCTGCTGTACTATGGTCCTAAAAAAAAAAAAAAAAAAAAAAAAAAAAAAAAAAAAAAACACCTTGGTTTTGGCCCATACCCACTAGTACTCATGGAACCATATATGGTGCCAAGGACTGAACCTGTGTCTGCCGCAGCATCCTACCCATCCTTCTGTCTCTCTAGCTCTAAAGCAAACCTTTCAAGAGCTGCAGTGATAGCACAGCAGGTAGGGCATCTGCCTTGCACGCAGCCGACCGGGGTTCGATTCTGAGCATCCCATATGGTCCCCTGAGCACTGCCAGGAGTGATTCCTGAGTGCAAAGCCAGGAGTAACTCCTGAGCATCGCCAGGTGAGACCCGTAAAGCAAAATAATAATAATAATAATAATAATAATAATAATAATAAAGCTGCATGACCTGGGGCCCAAGAAACAACAGGCTGAGCATATGCTCTGCATACAGAAAGCCTGGCTCAGTTCCCAGCATGCTTTGGTCCCCCAAGCAGGACTGGGAGCAACCTCCTGATAATGGAGTTAGGAACAGCTCCAGCCCCCAGCACCTCTAGATGTGGCCCCCAAACAGAAGAAAACAAAAAGACATTCCACAGTCCCTCATGGGATGACTGTCCACTGTCCAAGAATCTGGGATAAAAGTAAATGAGATGCTAATTTCACTTTCTCCCACCAAGGACAGAACTGCACAACCCAGGGAAGGTGACAATCTAATTACTGAGCTACCTGGACAGTCAAAAAGGATGTAGTCATCCTCGACATGGCCAAGGCAGTTCTCCAGCCACTCAAAGTTATTGGCAAAGTTCTCCATGCAAAAAACCAGTCCTCCATTGGGACCGAAGCGCAGGGAGCCTTCCTCCATCACATCATCCACATTGATCAGTTCCCGGATGTCTGCATAGAATAAACAGGAAATAAGTGCCCATTCCAAAATATTTACATTCACTAGTAATTATTACAACTGTGACTGTATCCAAAAAAATTGAACAGGGGCTAGAAAGAAAAAACAAGAAACAAAAACAAAAAGACACCAAACAGGGGCCTGAGGAATAGAACCGCGGGTACTGCCCTTGTCTTGCCTGTGGACAACCCAGGTTCAATCCATGGCACCTTAAATAGTTGCTCAGCCTGACCAGGAGTGATTCCTGAGCACAGGTCCAGAAGTACTGAACATAGGTGAGTGTGGCCCAAACCCCACCCCACCCATCAATAAAAGAAAAAAAAAATAAAACAAATAAATTGCAGTAGTCAAGGGATCAGTCTGAACGAAGTTTTCAGCTTCTGTGCCTCCCCAGAAGCAGGGGGCAGCACTCACTCCCTCAGGGTCCCCAAGGAGAGGGAAGGCTGCGCCCTGGACTCACCAGCCATCACATCATAGTTGAAATGCTCCGCCGCGGGGTCTAAGTTCACCACCTGGACAGAACGGCCGAGGGCTTCACAGAGCTGGACCATGGTGGCACAGTAGGTGCTCTGTGGACCGGGAGGCAGGAGGGGACAGAGCTTCAGGCAGACCCAACACCACCAGACAAACCCCCACAGCCCCTGGTCAGTGTCTGCTGAGGCCCAAACTAAGCCTTAATCCCCGGGACTGGGCATCAGGGAACACCATGCAGTGCAGATCCAGCCCTACCTTGGCCACACTGACCTCGGGCCAGCGGCCTCTTCCCGGCCAGTGTCCTTATCCCTGGGAGATGGTCTCCTCACTGCTATCAGGTGCGCTAAGTATGACTGAAAGGGAAGATTTCTCCCCCGCCCTTGATTTTGGGGACACAGCCAGCGGTATTTAGAGGGGTCTACATCGTTTGGAGATCAAAGCCAGATTGGGTGTGTGCAAGGCCCTGCATGCTCAACCTTTCTGGATTCAATTTCTCTTTGCAAATGAGAATAGGGTCTGGAGCGAAGCACAGCGGCCAGGGAGTTTGCCTTGCACTCAGCTGACCCGGGTTCGATTCCCAGCATCCCCAGCATCCCATATGGTCCCCAAGCACCGCCAGGAGTGATTCCTTAGTGCAAAGCCAGGAGTATCCCCTGTGTAGTGCCAGGTATGATCCAAAAACAAAGGCTGTGGAACTAAAGGGACCCTGGTGTGGGGACACGGAGAGTCCAGAGAGCAGGACACTCCCCTCGCACAAGGCTGTCTCTCTTTCAATCCCTGGACCATCCTGGAAGCCTGCCAGGAGTGATCCCTGAGCACAGAGCCAGGAGTCAGCCCTGAGCACCACTGGATGTGATCCCAAAAGCAAAAAAATTCGGGAGCTCATACTCCAAAAATACTGTACCCGGTTTGACAGGATTCAAAGTAGCAGGCAACCAATCTTAGAGGGAAATATATATATATTTTTTACATACACACACATATATACTTTATATATGTATAGAAAGAAAGAAAGAAAAGGCCCTCCCGTTGATCGTCGATTTGCTCGAGCAGGCCCAGTAACGTCTCCATTGGAGACTTTGTTGTTACTGTGTCTGGCATATCGAATACTCTCGGTAGCTTGCCGGGCACTCCGAGAGGGGCTGCGGAATCGAACTCGGGTCGACCATGTTGGCCGCTTGTAAGGCGAACGCCCTACCCGCTGTGCTATCGCTCCAGCCCCATATATATATATATATATATATATATATATGTATATATATATATACACAAGGGTCAACCTTTTACAACATGTTAGTGATCACTTATAGAAGGGCTCAATGGCCCCTGGGTAGAATACACACTCTTTCCTCTAAGGATACTTTTTTTATAGGATTTTCAGAGTTTTTTTTTGTTGTTGTTTGTTTTTGGGTAACACCTGCCGATGCACAGGAATTTCCCCTGGCTCTGCACTCAGGAATTATCCCTGGCTAATGGTGCTCAGGGGACCATATAGGATGCTTGGAATCGAACCCAGTTTCGCCGCGTGCAAGGCAAACGTCCTACCCACTGTGCTATCACTCCAGCGCCCTGGCAGTTTTTCATATCAAACAATACAAGAGAATAGATTCTTTGAGTTCTGCTTTGGGACAGGGATTAAGGTTCGGGATGGAACTATCCAAAATATGGTGGTGAGAAGGTGTACTGGTGGTGGGATTGGAGTCTGAATATTGAATGTAATCAAATATTGTAAAAAACTTTATAAAATAAAAAAATTTGGGGGTTAGAGCGATATGACAGCTGGCAGGGCATTTGCCTTGCAAGTGGCCGGCAAGGTTCGATTCACAGCATCCCCAATGGTCCTTTAAACACCACCAGGAGTAATTCCTGAGTGCAGAGCCAGGAGGAACCCCTGGGCATCACCGGGTGTGACCCAAAAAGCAAAAAGAAATAATAATAATACTAATAACAATTTTAAAAAATGAGGGTGGTAACGAATAAGTTATTGCGCAATAAACACTCTCTGCTCTTCCCCCAGAGCCCTGGCCGCCCAGCCCCCACAAACTCCCATTTTCCTTTCTTTTCTTAAATTTAATTTCATTTTTAAAATATATAATTTCTTTAATTTTTCCATTTAAATTTTTTTTTAATTTTTTACTATCTTTTTTTTTTATTAGTGAAACACCATGAGGTACAGTTGTAGATTTACAATTTTTTGTGCTTGGGTTTCGATTATACAATGATCAGATACCCATCCCTTCACCAGTGCCCATTTTCCACCACCATGGATAATAACCCCCCCACCCCCATGCCCCCATCCCCCCCGCCTCTGTGGCAGGGCAATCCCCTGTGTTCTCTCTCTCCTTTTGGGTGTTGTGGTCTGCAAAAGAGGCATTGAGCGGCAAACATGTTCAGTCCATAGTCTACTTTCGACATGCATCTCCCCTCCTGGGAGGATCCTCCAAACACCCTTTATTTGGTGCTCCCTTCTCTATCTGAACTGCCGTTTCCTCTAGAATACCTGGCTGGCCTCTATGCTCCTGGTGCTGATCTCAGCTATTCTTGGGTATTAATCTCATATTTTGTTACTTTATATCCCCCAGATGAATGCAATCTTTCTATGTCTATCCCTTCCTTTCTGACTCATTTCGCTTAGCATGACACTTTCCATATTGTACCACTTGTTTGTAAATTTCATGACTTCATCTTTTCTAACAGCTACATAGTACTCCATTGTGTAGATGTACCAAAGTTTCTTTAACCAGTCATCTGTTCTTGGGCATTCAGGTTTCTTCCAGTTTCTGGCTATTGTAAAGAGTGCTGCAATGAACAAACAAGTGCGGATGTCACTTCGACTATACATTTTTGCCTCTCTGGGATATATTCCCAGGAGTGGTATTGCTGGGTCAAAGTGATCAAAGTAGAGAGAGAGAGTAATGTGATCAAAGTAGAGAGAAAGAGTAATGTGTAAATCATCTGCCCCACAGGTATAGGGAGGGTGTGGGATGGGGGTATATTGGGGATTTTGGTAGTGGACAATGGGCACTAGTGAAGGTACCGGTGTTTCATTGCATGACTGAGACTTAGACCCGACATAGAACCAAAACTTTGTAACTGCTCTCACGGTGATTCAATAAAGACAATGATAAAAAATGAAAAAAAGAGTGTAAGGAGGAGTTCATGCCCAATTCAATCAGCTAATCAGTGGCCGAATAAATAGCAGTCCACTCACATTTTAAAAAAAAAAGGAAAATAACATTTTAGCAGCACATTCTTTCAAGTGGCTGCTCCCTGCTCTCCCCAGGGCCTTGAGTTCACCACATGAACAGAACTTGTGGGAACAGGGAGAGCAGCAGCAGCCCAGAAGGGCTGCACAGAGAGCAAGCCCTGCTGCAGGGCCACAGCTGACCTGTCCTCGCTGTGATGCGCTCGATGACATCACCGACCTCTCTTTGTGATGCAACCAGACATTCTGCAGCCTCCCCACCCGCCCCCATACTCATTACTTGGTTCACTGCGGAAACGCACAGACAGCAAACATGTTTTGCTGTTTACCAAGAAATCGTGGTTGTAAAACCCCCAAGTGTAGGACACTGAAAAGATTCAGAAACTGGGTGAGGACTCACTGGAGAACTCCCCGGAATTCTTCACGAAGACAGCCGCTAGTTCAGGTCAGCAGGAACTGGCCCGGGCAGCCCCAGCACTGATGCCCGTGATCAGTCTCCATCACTACCTGAGTGTGATGGCGCAGAAGTTATGTGTGTGTGGAAGAGTGTGCACACCCTGGTGTGAACGTGTTTATCGGAGGGCGTAAATTTGAGTGTGTACTAGAGATGGTGTGTGTGTGAGAGTATGTGTATTTGTGTATGTACGTGTGTCTGCGTGTGTGTTGTGAGATCATCTTGAGGGCAGCCTCTCCTACCAGGTGAGTCATCAAATCTAGCCCCCAAGGCCAGGTCACTGCTCACTGAGTTGGCACTAGGAGGTGCTCTTGGGCCAAGACTTTTCTAAACTTGATTGTTTCAATCTCATTCCTATGGGAGGCCTGTGTAGATGCAGGTCCACCAGCAGGGAGGAACTCAGAAGGGAGGGGGAAGCAGGGCTTCTGGAGCTGAGCCTTTGTGGTTCTCCCTCAGCAGAGCAGCCCACAGGAGAGAGAGACGCTCCCTCAGCAGAGCAGCCCACAGGAGAGAGAGACGCTCCCTCCGCAGAGCAGCCCACAGGAGAGAAAGAAGATCTTCTACATATCCTCTGGGTCCAGTTCCTCTGAAGAAAGTCTGGAATCAGCCAACACCAAGCACAGCCAGACACCATCTAAGCAGAAAGTTGAGATTGGCCAAGGATTTTCAACTCCCCAAAGGGCACCGCCTTCAGTGCCATGGCCTGACACATATGGCAGAGAACGAGACTCAGAGCACCAGAAGAAAACGGGTAAGAACCAAGGGGTGTGTGTATATGCACAAGTAAAAGGGGAATGGGAAAAGGCCAACCTAGAGGTGTCCTGGGGGCTGGTCACAGGCCAGAGAGCCCATTCCGGGGAGGACTCCACAGGAAACTCCCATGAGGTGGGCCCATGGTCTCCCCTTCCTGCTGGGCTCCCTGTTGGGGTCAGCTTTGGAGAATCCATGGAAGGAGCCATCTGGGTGACCTTTTCTCTTATTGATTCTTTAGCTCCTGCTCTGAAAGCATACTTGGCTCCGTGTCGACGGACAGCGCCGTCACTGATCTCTCGATTACCAGCTGCAAGGCCATCCGCTGTGGCAATATTGGACCAGTTCCCAGAGGACCTAGCATGTCTACAACTGGAAGAAGCCCAGGGTCTCACATCAGTGTTTCTGTCTGGATACCCTCCCACCAATGAGTATCTTGCTTCATTATATTTTATAATTTTTATTCTTTGTTTTTACTTTATCTCTTCTATTTTCATTTAAATAAATTGTGATTGCTACTCTTCACAAGCATCCATTTGCCTTTTTTTTTCCAGTTTTTGGGTCACAAACGGGGAGCACAGGTGATACTCCTGCCTCTTCACTCAGGAATTACTCCTGGTGGCGCTTGGTGGCCCATATGGGATGTTGGGAATTGAACCCAGGTCTGCCACGTGCAAGGTAAGTGCCCTACCCACTGTGCTATCACTCCAGCCCCGCATCCAGTTGCATCGTAACATACTCTTCATTTGTTCTGGCATTCTTGAAAATATTCATCCAACATAGAAGACGATTCATCTTCATGTTCCTGATATAAATAAAACACAAAATAGAAAATACATTGATTTCTTCGCAGACCCAGTATGTATTGACCTACTGTTCAGGCAATGCTCTATAATACCCAGTGGTAGTGGTAATAGATATTCATTAACCAAATTGGGGCGAAGGAGACAGCACAAGGGGTGGGGCACTACCCTGAACAGGGGGCCCAAATCACCATCAGGTTCTGGAGCACAAAAGCCACCTAATCCACAACCAGGGTTTTGGTTACTCTTTGTTTTTCTGGGTTTTTTTTTTTTTTGGCTTTGAGTTCTTGAGCCACACCCAGAGATCAGCCAGAACGGGCCAGGTTCTTGCTGCCCCCGAGACTTTAACTTAAGGAGCTGCTTAGACCAAGAAGGAGGGCAGAGGTGTTCAGGGCAATCCTGGCTCTGTGCTCGGGGACCAGACATGAAACGGGGAACTGACCCAGCGTCAGCCTAGGGGAGGCAGAGAATGGTCTTTCCCTCTGCACCGTTTCTGGCCCTGGCAAATCTAAACGGTAAAAGGTAAAGGCCCTCCCGTTGATCGTCGATTTGCTCGAGCGGGCCCAGTAACGTCTCCATTGGAGACTTTGTTGTTACTGTGTCTGGCATATCGAATACTCTCGGTAGCTTGCCGGGCTCTCCGAGAGGGGCGGAGGAATCGAACTCGGGTCGGCCATGTTGGCCGCTTGTAAGGCAAACGCCCTACCCGCTGTGCTATCGCTCCAGCCCTCGGCAAATCTAAATCGTCAGAAATTACCTTGGGTTCTTTGAATTCCAAGTCTTCTCCGTACTGAATGGCAAAATCAATATGCTGTAATACAATGTTCCTGCTTTCTTCTCTAACTGATCTTAAGGCAAAAATCGGACCATGCTGTAGTCATCAATCTACAAATTAGAGATTTCAGAAAGGTCATGCAACTGACGGTTGAGTGTGAGCATTGGTAGTCTAATTAAAACCATCTATGCCTGTGCAGGGAGGAGCAGATAGAACAACAGCAAATCAGCATTAATTTTTTTATGACCTCTGACCTATTGTAACACTAGTAACATTACAATATTACTTAACTAAAATTTTTTTTGTGGGGTCATACCCGGCGATGCACAGCGGTTACTTCTGGTTCATGCACTCAGGAATAACTCCTGTTGGTGCTCAGGGGACCTATGGAATGCTAGGAATCAAACCCGGGTCGGACGCATGCAACGCAAACGCTCCACCCTGACCAGAGACTGAGACTTCTTTTATAGTAATTTATCTGCATTCAACCATCACTGAAAATTTCAAAAGGGTACAAGCAATTCTGATGTGCCAAGTGGCCAAGAAAAAATGACATTGCAGAATTTCTCTGCTTTGGGACGGAAGAGATAGTACACTGAGTTGGGCGCTTGCCTCAGCCCCTGAGCACCACCGGGTGTGGCTCCCAAACCTTAAAAACTTCCCACAACAACCCCAAACACTTGCAATACTCATCAGCCCAGGGATTAGCACAGGGCTTGATTCTTGGCACCATATGGAATCCTGAGCATTGCTGGGTATAGCCAGGAAGCAACCAATACTGCTGGTACGGCCCTCTGGGCCCTAGCACTGACCACTACTAGTCTGGTGGGCCAATAATCAGAGTGGCCCCTAGGCCCCCCAGCACAGGTGGCCCACCCCCCCACCAAAAATTAGAAAAATACAAAGTCTTACCAGCCCACATATGGCGTTAGTCAATTTTTTGAATTTTTGGCCTCGTAAGTTACTTGTAGAATCATCTAATGAAGAATACACGTCTGGATCTAGAAACCTTTAAAAATGAGAGACCTTTAAAAATGAGAGCTTTCCCCTTAATCAGACTCTATTAATCTATAAGATCAGTTTCCCAGAAATCTATGATTTTATATGTATGAGTGAAATATTGCCTTTCTCCTCTCCTAATGCCTTATGAACAGTTTACTTTAAAGCAATGCCCTTTTTGTATAGATACAGGAAGACTATTACATTATGCTTTGTAACTTAGGATTTGATTGGCTTTGAATATTAGTCACTCCCAGGCATCTGCTTTCTCGACTTAAGCCTCAGTTGCCCTTAGTTTCTAACACCGCAAAAGCAGGATCCCGACGAGGGACTGAATGGACCCAGGGCAAGCAGTGAGCAACCCTGGCATCGAAATGGGCCAGGCCAAGGTGCCACGATTCTTAACTATAAGTTAAGAGTTTGATCATAGACAAATGCTGTCATGATCCAATGGTAACGACGAGACTAGGATCCTGCTGGTGTGGGAAAGACTATCTGGCCTGAGCACAGTAGTCTGAGATTGAGATGGCGCTCGGAGAGCAATTCTATAAGTTTAAGATATTTCTTACTGTATCCATACAAAATGATTTATATTATATATTCTTATATGCTTGTCGGACAAGGAGAGGAGAGACACACCCTTGGGATCCCGCCCTAGGGCGGGTCGTCCTGCTGAGAAAGGATCTGTGCTAGGAGTGGCTTTCCCTGAGGCTAAGATTTCTATCCCTATTGGTTGTGACTGCACCTATTTGTAATTGTTACCCCAACCCTTCATGCTTTGGGATTTAACTAGACTGCAGGAGTGGGGGGGTGGGGGGGTCAGAAGGGTTCAGAGGAAGAAGCAGAGGTCAGAAGGAAGGAGAAGGGGATCAGAAGGAAGAGAAAGAGGGATCAGACTCCAGAGAAGGAGGATGAAGGGGGATGGAGAAGGAGAATGAAGTAGCATGGGAGAGGAAGAAGGGGGAGCAGAGGCAGATAAGAGAGACTGGTGTAGATGGAGAGAGGGTTGGAATAAACTGTGACTAAGACTAACCACACTGGCCTCATTCCTTCCTTTGCCTGACCATCGCCATCGACCTTCCCGGGGTGGGGGAAGAAGGGTGAGACTTCTGAACGCGGGCGGCGGGAGAGATAGAGCCACCACTGCTGTGTGCCGTGCCCCCTTTGCGTGAGTTTATACACGATACGCATGGCATTCTTCAAAGAAATGGAGCAAACACTCCTGAAATTTATATGGAACAATTAAGACTTCTCGAATAGCTAAAGGAGTTCTTGGGAAAAAGAAAATGGGAGGAATAAACCTCCCGAACCTCAAACTCTAATACAAAGCAGTAATAATTAAAACAGCATGGTACTGGAACAAAGGCAGAGCTGCAGACCTATGGAACAGGGTTGAATATACTGACATCTCCCCTCAAACATATGATCATCTAATCTTTGCTAAAGGGGCAAGAAATTCGAAGTAGAGTAAGGAAAGCCTTTTCAACGAATGATGCTGCCAAACTGTATGACTACATGCAACAAACTGGGCTTAGATCTTAGCCTAACATCATGTACAAAAGGAAGATCAAAATGGATTAGAGACCTCAGCATCAGACCGGAATCCATAAGGTACATTGAAGACAAAGTTGGCAAAATCCTCCGTGACATTGAAGCTAATGGTATCTTCAAAGAAGTCACGCCACTGGCCAAGCAAGTGAAAACAGAGAGAGACAAATGGAACTATTTTAAATTAAGAAGCTTCAGTTCCTCAAAAGAAACAGTGACCAAATACAAAGACAATCTACAGAATGGGAAAGGATGTTCTCCAAATACACATCCGACAAGGGGTTGATATCAAGGATATACAAAGAACTGGTTGAACTCCACAAGAAGAAATCATCCAGCCCCTTCAAAAAGTGGGGCAACGAAATGAACAGAGACTTTCTCAAAGAAGAAATCCGAATGGCTAAAAGGCACATGAGAAAATGCTCTACATCATTGATCATCAGGAAGATGCAGATCAAAACAACAATGAGATATCATGTCACACCACAGAGATTGGCCCACATTCAAAAGAACAAAAGCAACCTGTGTTGGCACGGATGAGTATCTTGCCTCGGTATATTTTATGATTTTTACTCTTTGTTTTTACTTTATCTGTTATATTTTCATTTAAATAAATTGTGATTGCTACTCTTCACAAGCATCCAGTTGCATTTTTTTTATTTTTCTTTTTTTTGTTTTTGGGTCACACCCAGAGAGCACAGGTGTTACTCCTGCCTCTTCACTCAGGAATTACTCCTGGCGGCGCTTGGTGGACCATATGGGATGTTGGGAATCGAACCCAGGTCTGCTGCGTGCAAGGCAAACACCCTACCTACTGTGCTATCACTCCAGCCCCGCATCCAGTTGCATCGTAACAAACTTCTCATTTGTTCTAGCATTCTTGAAAATATTCATCTAACATAGAAGATGATTCTTCTTCATGTTCCTGATATAAATAAAACAGAGAATAGAAAATACATTGATTTCTCCGCAGACCCAGTATGTATTGACCTACTGTTCAGGCAATGCTCTATAATACCCAGAGGTAGTGCTGATAGATATTCATGAACAAAATTGGGGCGAACGAGACAGCGCAGGGGGTGGGGCACCACCCTGAACAGGGGGCACAAAGCACCATCAGGTTCTGGAGCATAAAAGCCAGCAAATGCGCAACCAGGGTTTTGGTTACTCTTTGTTTTTTTTGGTTTTCAGTTCTTG